AAACTCAACTTCTGTTGTTCATCCCTGCATAGATAANCTTANAGACGANTTNTNTTGTGNANTNTGAATCNGAATCTTGAGAGACTCTTTTGTTGGTTTTACTTGGTAATCTCTTGCTTAAAATTGAGATTTGTTTCTAATTCTGCAGATTTGTCTTGAGATTTGCTTTGAGTCAAGTACTACAACTTATGGACGCAGGTAGATTAACTACAGAACATGTAATTGTCTTTGGATGGTGAACTTGGTACTGAATTGTTCAATTTTTTGGTATGTGTAGCTTCTGCAAAAAGTGTTTACGATCTGCGGCGGATAAATGTTTGAAGGAAATGTCCTAAATGCAGGCATCTAATAGGGTAAACAGAACCAACTTTTGATGAGTTTTGTATCCAAAGCTTTGAGGTTTTATTATCTAACAATGTGATTTATGTATGTAGAAATGGAAGATATTGTACGGTCAATACCGTTCTTTGGAACACATCCATCTTTTGTTCCCTGAAGAAGTTGAAGCACAAGGAGACGCCGAGTCCTAGAAACCCTGATCAAAGGAAAAGAAGAAGAAACAACATAGATCAAGATTGGTTGCAAAGCGAGTCCAAACAGAGTCTTAATGAAATAGACAGTGTTTAGGTTTGGTGTGAATCTCGAAACTCTTAAATGGACAGAATGCACTCTCATCACCACCCAAATTTTCAATGCCATTTACTCAAACCATAGTTGAGCCAAAATTGAAAGTCAAAGAAGAGGAAGAGGATATCGATTGATGCATTCATATTTTAGCATATTTAGTATATATTTTCTTTAGCTTCTGTAGTCATTAGACTTACATTTTTGCATGTTTTTCATCATTTTGAGTCTCATTTCATACTTAGGATCATTTTAGAGTCTAGGATACATTTCCTTGCATTTTGTGCATTTTTGGTTCCTTTTTAGGTACCTTGGAGACATTGGAGTGAGTTGGAAACAAAGCGGCTAGAAGAATTGATCAAATGGGCAAAACACATGCAGGAGAAGTCCGAAGCGGCTGAAAGATCATCTCTGTTGAAGGTCTTACATTGATCGGATTAATCTGAAC